AGATACCGGGCGCTCATATTATAAGGTAAGGTTATAAAAACCATCTTTTAAGATCATTTTAGTGAAAGTTTCATCCTTCAAGGCGTACCATTCACTGCTCAAATACTAAACAACCTGCTTCCATTGCCGAGATACAGGGCGCTCATATTATAAGGTAAGGTTATAAAACCACCTTTTAAGATCATTTTAGTGAAAGTTTCATGTTCCTATCTCATATAATTTAAGAACAATGATGAATAAATCATTTTTGAGCAAAACTTAAATGGACGGCTGAATATATTACCGCCGGAGAGACGGCCGCGGAATTTAAATCACCGCGTGAAAGGGTTAAATAATTTAATTAAATTTTTGTGTTTTTTTAAACTGTCAGAGACTCTCAAGCTTGTTGACTTTGTGTATGTGTATTTGCATGCATGCTTGTGGGTATGTATGTTACAAATAATGACAGTGGCATTTTGGAACCTGAAATCTTTGATCAACTGTACTTTTCTCTGTTTCTTGTTACTTCCTCAGTCTTTGGTCCAAATTGATGAGCCATTCCTTTTCTTGAATTATATCACTTTAAAAATAGTTAAACTTGTTCTGTGGCATTGTTTGTAAAATATTACTGTGTAGCTCAGTACTGAAGACTGGGTGGTTACTAAAAAATGGAACATTAAAGTGAATTGCACTATTGCAGGGTGATGTAGCCAATGAAGTGGAAACAGAGCAGATGGTTCATGATTCATGTGTGTCATCCCTCTCTTCTGGACGCTTCAGTTCCTTCGTTCAGTTACGAGGCTCAGTTCCATCACATTGGAGCCAAGATATCAGCAAAATGGTGCCCAAGCCTGCCATAAGTTTTGACCTGAGTGATCCTTTCTGTGAGACTGCTGGTAAGGTAATGTGCTTACTGTTTGGTCAGTGTTATGTCTCCAAGTGTGTTGAAGGAACATGGAGGAAAAGGCACATGTTCTTGAGTGGTGTGCAGTAAAACCAAGAAACAACCAACCGACCCAACCAAGTAAACATGGTGTGTGTGTGTGTGTGCGCCAGTGCATGTCCGCCCATCCATTATTTTATATACAGGATGTCCTAGGAGGAATGGACCAAACTTCGGGAGGGTGTTCCTTATGTTAAAGTATGCCGATATAACCCAAAACAGCTGTGTCCAAAGTTGAACGGTTACGGAGATAATGGCCCGAAAAAAGTGTGGTCTTCTGGCGGGTCCACGCACTATACCTGTCAGCTGGCATGTCTTATCTGTTTCTCCTTGAGTGTCGTGATTCACACTAGCAGTAAGCTCATGCGCTACCTACAGAGTACGTTGTGGTGGGGTCATGATTAGTTGTGTGATGAGTTGCTGAAATGCCTCTTGTGTTTTCACACGTGGAATATTGTGATATGCATTTTGTGTGTGGATTTTGTGGTGGCAATTCACGTGCTGCTGTTGAAGAAGACCAAAGGCGTGTTGCC